TCTTCCATATGACTTCCAGTATGGCAGAGTGTTGCACGTCCACTGTGCCACTGTGGCCAGGCCTATGTTTGCCTTTTTCTATAGAAAAGAAAGTCTTGACAGAGATCCAATCTCTAGGTGTCTTCCAGGCTTTGCCACATGTTCACTTCCTTATCAGAAAATACATTTTTTAAAAAGACGTTTTTGCTATAGGATGCATGCAATCACCAGAGAGAGCCAGACAGAAAGCAAGAAATCAACCCCCAGGAGGGATGGCCACACCATAATCCATTCTCCTCCATTCACCTCTCAGGATTTTGGGCATGCACACATGCCTGGTGTGAGTTTTAAGCTGGCAGGTCTGGGACGCGAACCATGGTCGACTACATGGAAGTCCAGTGATATAACTACATTATGCCATCTGCTGGTCCCTAGAAAACATACTTTATTAAGAAAACACATTTCTTTCAGTTGCCAACCTTGGCTCCCGTTTTCTGCTCTGTAAGCTTACCTGGAGAGGTTCTCATTCTATCTGTGTTAAATAACCTCCCTTCTCCATCGGCCTATCAGGCCACACTTCGCTCCAGCTGCCCTACCCTATCCAGATCCTGTTTCCTATTGTCTTAGTCTGTTATTGCATTGCTAACACAAATATCTGAGACTAGATTTTTAAAAATAGTATAGGGGTTTATAGACTCACAACTCTGATGGCTGGAAAAGTCCAAAGCCATAGGCCTGGCATCAGGCTGGCCTGTAGTGTGGCCAACAGAAACGGAGGATGGCAGGTACATGCAACGAGAGAGAGCTACAGGAATCTCTCCTTTTTAACATTTATTTGTTTAAAAAACATTTTTGCCATAAAGTACATGCATTTACTGGAGAGAGACAAAGAGAAGGAAAGTGAGAAGTCACTTCCCAGGGTGGATGACCATGCCGTAAACCCTTCTCCTCCATTCTTAGGATTTTGGCCATGCACGCACATGTGCTGGATGTGGTTTTCAAGCAGCAGGGTCTGGGACTTGAACCATAGAGTTGGCCTTGTGGGATCTGGCACCTTAACCACCACACCACCTGCTAGCCCCGGCTCTCCCTTTTGATAACGGCCTGCTCTCGTGAGAATTACCCTTTCTCATGAGAGCCAGAACTCACTGTGTCTCGTTAATCTAGTCATGAGAGTGCCGCCTCAGTGTTACATTCACCCGGATCCAGGCGCTGCCCACTAGGCCTCACTGCCGCCAGCACCAAATTCCAAAACACGAAACTCTGAAAGACAATCCCTTATCCAAACCATAACTCTAGATACCTGGGGTGCCTGATTGATGGCTGGGGAGATGGGACAGACTAGTGGGACGCTGGTAACAACTTCTTGCAGAGCAAGAAGACCAAGAGCCCCCCTCTCCCCCAGTTTAGATGAACTGGAATAACTGCTTAAATCCTGGGCCTCCGTGCTGGTCTGCCTGATGCTATGGAACTATCCAAATAACTGTCACAACTTGGAGTTTGTTGTTAAAGTGACGGGGGACAAAGATACTTGATATGTGGTCCCAGTTCCAAGAGAAGGCTAAAGACCCCTGGTGATAAATGCTTCCTGCCTTTTAGACAGAGGTTACGCCTAACATCCTGGCCTTTCCCACCAGCACTCCTCAGGACCGACAGGGATGTCGGTACCACCTTTTGGAAGGCAAAGATAGCCCTTCTTTTTTTTTTTTTTTTTTTTGGAGAGGTTTTTGCTATAGGGCGTGTGCACTTGCCAGACAGACAGAGAGAGACAGAGAGATAGAAAGCGAGAAATCACCCACTAGGGGGGATGATCACGCCCCAATCCCTTCTCCTCCATTCTCCTCTCAGGATCTTGGGCACACACGCACACGTACCCGGCATGAGTTTAAGCCACCGGGTCCAGGACTCAAACCATGGTCAACTACATGGGAATCCAGCGACTTAGCCATTATGTTAACTGCTGGTCCCAAGATATCCCATTTTCTTGAAGGACAGTGTGGCCTACCTACCTCCAGAGTTGGGAGCACCATTGAAATAAAACTCTTTACTTCTAGGACAGGAAGTTTGGTCCAGGAAAAACCTTCTGCTTGTGGAATGAGGGGTTAGTCCAGGCATAAACACTCACATTTATTACATTTCTTCCTGAACACATCTGTTCCTAACACTGGTGAGTGAAGTTCTTTGTGTGACTGCTGATGAAAGGTTAGCATCCTAACTTAAGATGTCCTACGGCTTCATCTGGTCATTGCCAGATGAAGGTGTCTCTTGGGTCTTCCATGGCTGAATTCCTTATTGATGGCTCATCTTTTCATTGGTTGGCAATATTCTCGTGGATGTACCTGTCTTCATCATTAACCGTTAGTTATTTCATTATCTACATGCCGGGTACTGTGCTAAGGTTATGATGATGAAGGCTGACCTAGCAGGACACTGAACAAAGACCGATATTAAATGTCACCGAGGAGAAATTGTAGGTTGCTAAGGGTACATTACAAGCAGACTGCATATGGTTGGAAATGTTGGACAGATTATTTGGTACTTTTTTTTTATATATATGTAAGGGATTTCCTAAGGTGCATGCACTCGCCAGAGGGACAGTGAGAGGGAAAGTGAGAAATCATCCCCTGAGGGGATGGCCATGCTGCAATTCCTTCTCCTTCTTTCTCTTCCTGGGGTCTTGGGCACACACGCCCAACATGAGTTTCAAGCCACTGGGTCCGGGACTTGAACTGTGATCTGTCATGTGGGAGTCCAGCGACGGAACTGCTACGTCCTCTGTTGGCTCCCAGATTATTTGGTACTTTCAAGTGCTGGTGCTTCAAAAGAAGAAACATGGCTTTATACATGTGAGAGGATGTTACTTAGTGGAAGAAGAGTTTGGTGGTATTTGGTGGAAGGGGCATAATCTAGGTTTTTATAAAAAGGGGTCTTGGTATCTTGGGGTATGAAGGTTGTCTTAAAGAATTAGAGGCAGATTGGGCCTCATTTTCTTATCTCTGTTTTTTACCACCTGATTTGTTTGTTCTTTGAGGCTTTAAGAGGTACTTGAGAGCCAGGAGGTAGCATAGTGTTTAGGGTGTTGGACTCCTGCATGGTTGACCGTGGTTTGTGTCCCAGACCTGATGGCTTGAAAATCATGCTGGACATGTGTGTGCATGCCCAAGATCCCAGGAGTAAAATGAAGGAGAAAGGATTGTGGCATGGCCATCCTTCCCGAGGGGTGTTTTCTCACTTCCCCTCTTATTTCTCTCTCTTTATTGAGCGTGCATGCCCTATGGCAAAAACCTTTAAAAAACCAAAAAGGTGGGACCAGCAGCTAGTGTAATGGCTATGTCACTGAACTCTCATGTAGTTGACAGTGGTTCGAGTCCCAGACTCGGCGGCTTAAATTCACGCTGGACGCGTGTGCCTGCGTGTCCAAGATCCTGAGAGAATGGAGGAGAAGGGATTATGGCATGGCCATACCCTCTGGGGGGTGATTTCTCGCTTTCTGTCTCTCTGTCTCCCTCTGTCTTTCTGGTGAGCGCATGCATCCTATAGCAAAAACCTTTCCAAAAAAATTTAAAAAGAAAAGCTATTTCTTGGGTCATATCCAGTATTTATCCAGTATTTTTGGCTAGTTTTCAGGAGGAAGGTTGATTTGAAAGTCTGAAGTCCTCTTAAGTACAATTAAGGGAATTTGGTAGAACTGAGATTCCCAGGTCTTGCCCTAGACATACTGAATGGAAGTCCACAGGTGAGATTGTCCAGGTGTACCCAAACAGAGCCTCCAAGTGATTCTGATGGACTTTAAAGTTTGAGAACCACGTACCCAGCCCATGGCTGCTAATGACAGAATCCTATGAAAGCTGTCACGGTGAGTGGTGAAGGTGTTTAGAGGCAGCCATGTGAGGTAGGAGGACTGAGGGGTCAAAGTGTCAGCCTTGAGCATCTGACATGGCCAGCTTGGGGAAAAATAGGCAAAAGAAAAGTGAGTATTCTAGAGCAATGGGTTGGTAAAACTTCTCTGTAAGATGCAAGTCTTTGTGGGCCCTATGTGGCCCTTGTCACCGCTGTTCCTCTCTGTCACAGTACAAGGGCAGCCATCTTCAGTGCACGAGTCCATGAATGTGGCTGTGCTCTAAGAAAACATCGTCTACAACACAGATGACAAGCCAGGATGGCCCCCAGGCGGCAGTTTACTGATGCCTGTTCTAGCAGAATGATCTACAGTGTCGCTGCTATCATATTTAATCAGCAGAATACTTTGTTCTTATTTAGAGCCCAATAAGCCAGGACCTACTCTGGTTGAAGCACAGGGAACCCAGAGTCCACCTGTTCAGTTCTCTATTTTCTCCAAGTGTTTCTCAAGAAGGGAGACGGGAGAATGGGTTCCTTGGGACACATTCCTAATGACATCTCAGCAGAGAGCTTTGGTGCCTGGGCTTGGGGCCTTAGTTCACTCTTGTTACTTACAATAATATATCTGAAACTGGGTGACATAAACATAAATATTTCATTGGTTCATGAGTCTGATGGCTGGAAAGTCCAAAGGCTGGCGTCAGGCTAGCTATGTCACATGGCTGACAGAAGCAGAGAGGATAGCAGTTGCATTCAGAGAGAGAGAGAGAGAGAGAGAGCAAGCGCACGCAAGTGCAAGACCTGGGGGTGGCCATTTTCCTTCATGACACCCCTCATGAGAACTAGAACTCATTGGGTCTCATGAGACACCATTGATCCATCATGACAGCAATGCCACCATAATCCTGTCACCATCCACCAAGTCTTAGCTTTTAAACGTCTCATCCCCTCCCTACACCATTGAACTGAAGACCAAATTCCAAAACATGAACCTTTGGTGGCCAATCATTGCCTGACCCATAGCAGGATAACTTCCTGAACCAATGTGGGCCTATAACCAATGCCTGGAGGTGGGATGGGCCAGGGACCAGCCTCACATCAGTTTTGGCCCCAGTCATGCCTGGACCTGATAGTCAGGGGAGTCCCCTTTGCTCCAAAGCATGGTGTCTCTCTTTCTGTAGGTTCCGACCAGCCTGCTGAGGCCAGTACAGATACCTGGAGTATGAGTCACAGGTCAGACACTTCCTCCATGCCCAGCGGCCAGACGAAGGGCCAGGTCCTCATGGGCCAAAGCATCTACACCCAGCTGTTGAAGATGATGCAGCACCTGCAGCACATGGTGGAGGATCATTTCGTACAACTGACAGCCAGGCGCATGGAGCAGAGCCTGGCACTGGAAGACCAGAGTCACACTCGGGCCATCTGTAAGCAAGAAGCTCTCCTGGACCGCTTAATACGCCAGATTATCGAGCTTCTACAGTCTGGGGCCACAGGTGGTCTGGGGCTCCGAGGACCTATCTGTTCCCCGGATACCAGGGATGATGTCAGAGGTGGGCAAAGGGCCCGATCATCCAGGCAGCCTGACCACCTAGCTTCCCAACTGCATAATTATGAAGCTGCATTTATCAACTATGACCTGTCCAACCGTGGGGTTGACATCTCTGCCTTGTACTGCTCGGGCTTCCAGGACTATGAGACTTATCAGAGAAGCAAATACCATGAGGGAGAAAATACCTTGGTGAGAATGAGGGGAAATCCTCGAGGGCCCCCGTTACTAAGAATTACTGAGTCTCATGCCAAGTGCTATATACCAACTCACTTTACTCAGGCCACTGGCCTCTTATAGGTAAGGGGTAGTCACAGAAATAAGGTGGCATGCCCTTGAAAGTTGGAAAACTATGCCCTGGGTCCTCTCTCCCTCCTCCCCCATACAAGGTTTCCCTAAATACAGTTCTTAATGTCCAGGAGTCGGCCGTTTTGATCACAGTTCCTTATGGAACTTAATGTGGAGATGAGTGTATTGGCTTGTAAGAAAAAGTCATAACGCTTTTTCTTTTCTTTTTTTTAAAAAAAGAGGTTTTTGCCTTAAGGCACATGCACTCACTGGAGAGAGAGAAAGACAGAGACAGTGAGAGGGAAAGTGAGACATCGCCCCCTCCTCCGGGGAGGGATACGGCCTCATCACAATCTCTTCTCCATTCCCTTCCCAGGATCTTGGGCATGCGCGTATATCCACCTGGAGTGAGTTTTAACTCAGAGTCCAGAACTCAGCCTGTAGCCAGCCATGTGGGAGCCAGCGACGTAACTGCTGCACCATCTGCTGGCCCCTCATGATGCATCTTTGCATAGAGAAACATAGAATACACCCTGCCTCTTCCGACAACCCGATAGTCGGCCACTGGGGCAACAAACACTCAGTGTTTCCAGAAGCACTAAAGGAAGGCCCACTCCGGGTGGCCTGGGGAGCGTCTTAAATGCTGACTCAGCCAGCCATGTGGTGGTGGTCCTCCAGGAAGGAGGAACAGCACGTGTGCTAGTTGTAAGTGGAGAGGGCTCAGAGTGACTGGGAAAAGAGGCCCCATGTGGCAAAAGTAGAGACAATGCGTGCTGTGGTAAGAGGTGCAGACAGAGGTGGATGGGCGGTTAGAGGAGGTTGCCCTAAGGTGATAGGGAGCTGATGAAGGCTTCCAGCAAAGGAGGGTTCAGAGCTGCTTTCCATCCACGGGGCAGATGCCACTAGCCATTCCTTCCCTTCTGTTCCCATGCAGTGGTGTGTGGCCAATGGCCGTCTGTTTTTCTGGACGCTGAGTTGGACCCGGAGGGACTGCATCTCTTTCAGTAACTCGGAGGGTCCTTCCATGTGAAGGGGAATTACAGAGCCGGGTACCAGGTTGGGCCTGTGGTGGTTAGGAGTTTAGGCTCTGGGGTCAGCAGGTGGGGTTCTGCCTGTCACCCAAGGTTATGTGGCTAGCAGATAAGTCAGCTTTTCTGAATTTCACTCTCTTTGGGTGAGGGATTTTTTTTTTTTTTTTTTTTTTTTTTTCCACAGGGGGGGGGCCCTCGCCCGCGCGCGAA